AACAAGTAATATAGCCAAAACAACCGCATAGCCACTGTTTAGTGTAGATGCATGTTGATTTTATCAGACGATGCCGTGATTATAAATGAGTGACCCCTGGTTAACATGTATTAAAAGGGGTTGTGTTTAGTCACTATTTAATGTGGTGTTTTTTGACTATTCACTCATGACAGTAAAATAGGGCATTTTAAGTCAATATACTGCAGTATTTCCTCTCAATCAGTAGAAAATTAGTGTGGTATTTTTTGACAATATTCACTCATCATGACCGTAAAATAGGGCATTCTAAGTCAATATACTGCAGTATTTTCTCTCTCAATCAGTAGAAATTATGGTTAACACCCGGTCATGCATGAAAAAAAAAATACTGTCATGTACCGTGAACCCGGTATAATTTTGAAAAATACCGTGATATACATTTTTGGTCATACCGCCCAGCACTACTTCCGAGTATACAATCCGTCACGCCTATTCAAACAGAGCTTTCTGATGAGGAGGGTTACAAACAGGACAGAAAATATCTTATTACTTATAAATTGTTTTTATTTTTTATGTAATAATCTTAACATTAAAAGTGGACCTCATAGAACAGTACAAAATAAAAAAAACAGAGGCAGTTCATGACCCCTTTAAGAATATTTGTAGGTTCTTAAATATGGTTAAAAAAATAGAACTTATGGGACCCAAGGTATTTCAACTTAAAATCTTGTTAATTAAAACAGTCCATGGATATGTTATGCATCAGCTCCTCAGAGAGCAAGACCTTTCATAAATGGCATTTCAAACCCATTAGTGTGGAGTCACGAACAGGCTTGCTAAATCACAGTTGTCATGATGGCAACTTGTTTAATTGTGTTGTTACGTTCTCTCTTCCTCAGAAACACTTGTCTCAGTGTAAGTTTGCCACAGTGCAGTGCCCTCAGTGTCTGGAATCTGTTCGTAAGAGCCATCTGGATGAACACAAGAGCGAGCAGTGTTTACAGCGGCTTATGACCTGCCCTGCCTGTGCAGGGAGCTTTGTGTATGCTAACAAACAGGTGAAAACCGTTGTTTCCTGTTCACATACAGGATAGGTTTAGATTTGGTTAAAGTGGTTTTGAAAGATTCTATTATAGTATATCATAATATTTAATTATCGTTTATTTTTATATTTTCAGTTCATTTACTTTCATCATTTTTTTTTTTCACTTGTATTTTGCTTTATTTTTATTTTTGTATTAGTTTTATTATAGTGACTTTTTTAGTTAGTTTTCTTTTTTATTTTATTTCAGCCTTATTTTAGTCAACAAAGAAAATTTGAATAGTTTTAGCTAGCAATAACACTGTCCAATATTAGTGTCTGATACATTTGTTTTCTTTTGTGTAGATTCATGAACAGATTTGTCCTTTCGCCAATACAGTGTGTGAATATTGCGAAATGGAGCTTATTCGGGATCAGGTGTGTCAGATGATTTGTCACTAATATGCACATTACCTGAGGCACAACAGTAATTTATTCTGTTTGATACTTCAAATTATTCATTGTGAAACTATGAAGCTGAATGAATCTGTTCTTACTGGTTTCAGTTGGCATTGCACTGTGACACAGACTGTCTGAAAGCTCCTGTGGCCTGTACTTTCAGCACTTTTGGTTGTCATGTAAAGGTGGGCCATGAGATTCCTGTTATATAACACTCCAAAAACATATGCTTTCCTTTTTATCATTCTGAATAAAGTGCATTCTGGGGACAGTAAGACTTATTTTGTAAGGAATGAATACTTGTGTTCAGCAAGGATGCGTTAAATTGATCAAAAGTGACAGTAAAGACATTTTTTTTTTTTTTTAAGACTTTCAAATGTTAGAAAAAGAAAATGAAGATAGACTTGCACAAACAATTATTAAATATTAAGCATATATATATATATATATATATATATATATATATAATTTTTTTTATATACATTAATATTTTTACTCAGCAAGGATGCATTGATCAAAATACTTTTACATTTTTACACAAACTATTTTAAATCAGATTTTAAATCTTAAATTTTAAGATTTAAAATTTTTAAATCTTTTAAAAAATGATCTTTTTAATTTTAAAATCTTACATTTTAAGATTTTTCTTTACAATTTTAAATATTTTCAAATCTTTTTATTTTTATTTAAAAAGCAACTTTTTATTCTTTAAGAATCCTGAAAAATGTCCATCATGGTTTCCACAAAAACAAACAAACAAACAAACAAAAAAAACAGCACAACTATTTTTAATTGTGATGATAATGTTTCTGAAGGATTATGTAACTGATGAACTGGAGTAATGGCTGCTGAAAATTCAGCTTTGCCATCACAGGAATAAATTATATTTAAAATACACTAGTCAACATTTGAAGTGGATCAAAACCTTTCATCAAAGTTGTCCTAAAACACGTTCATGTCTTAGGACAACTTTTTTTGATCCACTTCAAATGCTGACTACTGCATATTAAAATAGAAAACAGCTATTTTAAATTGTAACAATATAGCTGTTTTTAGTGTTTTTTTTAATTAAATAAATGCAGCCTTGGTGAGCAAAAGAAACTTCCAAAAACAATCTTACCAATCACAAACTTTGTTAAATTGATCAAAAGTGACAGTAAAGACATTTTTTTTTTTTTAAGAATTTCAAATAAAAATGCTGTTCTTTTGAGATTTCTGTTCATCAAAGAATCCTGAAAAAAAATGTATCATAGTTTCCACAAAATATTAAAGCAGTGCAATTGTTTTCAACACTGATAAACTAGAAAAGAGTTATTTTAAATTGTAATAGTATTTTTGATCACATAAATGCAGCCTTGTAGAATATAAGAGACTTGTTTAAAAAATATTTTAAAACCTCTTACTGAATCTCTGAATGGTAGTATATAACACAAATGTCTAACTTTTCTATTTCTTTGGAAATATTACAGATGCCAAGAAATGAACTGGCCCAGCACATGCAGGAATTTACACAGATGCACATGCGTTGCATGGCTGAGTTTCTGCGTAGCCAGACTCTCAATAGCTGCTCAGTGCCCTCATTTGCCACCCACTCTTCGTCAGATGAATGTGGGGCCTCTGCCCGAGCCCCAGATTCTTGCCAGTGTAGACCGGAGCTGATGAACCTGCGTGAGACGGTCTTGGAGCTGGAGGGCCGGCTGGTTCGTCAAGATCAACAGATCCGTGAGCTGTGCATCCACAATGAGACACAGAAAAACCAGGTCACAGAGCTACGCCGAAAGCTGAGCTCACTGGAGGAGGCCACCCGAGAGCTGGAAGCCCAGCAGTATCAAGGCGTCTACGTATGGCGCTTGGAGAACTTCTCACTTCACCTGCGCAACCAAGAAGCCGGTCAGCCCATAGTCCTTCACAGCCCACCTTTCTACACGGGCCGGCCGGGGTACAAACTCTGCCTACGACTGCATCTGCAAACTCCCAGCGCCCCACGCTGTTCCAACTACATCTCACTTTTCGTGCACACTATGCAGGGTGAGTTTGACAGCCAGCTCTCCTGGCCCTTGCAGGGCATGATCCAACTGGCAGTGTTGGACCAGGTCGAGGGGCAGCATCACGTGGAAGTGATGGAGACCAAGCCAGACCTGCAGGCCTTCCAGAGGCCCACTGTCCAGCGCAACCCCAAGGGTTTCGGCTACGTCACTTTCCTGCACCTACAGGCTTTGCGGCAGCATGGGTTTGTGAAAGACGACGTGCTGTTGGTGCGCTGCGAGGTCACACCACGATTCGACGCTAGCCTCAGGAGGGAAGGGGTCCAACCTCGGGGGTCAGAACCTTCACTTTGAGTTCCTACATCGCTCCTGCATTCTTAAGTTCTCATAGACACTTTGCTGAAACGAAAATGTGGCAAAACCTGGACTTTCTTTGACTCTTCATGGTACACCAGGCTTAGTAATGATGGTTTTACAAAGTTGCATAACTCGTATGTCTGTTGTGAAGTGTTTTATATACAAATGTTGTTTCTCAAAAACCTTTTAATCAGTGCAATCAATGGACAAACCTACATATGATTAGCATCAGAAATTCACTGAATGTCCTGTCAACCAAGCTAAAGAGTGTAAAACTATTATTTTAATGGTGCTGCTTGTGCTAAGTGTTAGCTTTCACAAATTCTTTTCATGATACTACATTCAACTGCTAATTTTTGCTGCCTTTTCTGCCTACTCGGCAGTAGGGGAAAAAAATAATTTTTGCTATCTTTTTTTTTTTTCTTCATAAAATATGTACTTAATTTTCATTTATTTGACAAGATCTGACAATTTAAAGCATCATCAGTACAGAGCAGCACTGTTTACTGTGATTATACTAAATGTCGTGCATTGTTCATTTAACAACTTAATGTCTTAAGGTGTGGTTACATTAGCGAAGTTTCGATGAAAAATTGTTAGTGATGCATGAAGTGCAGCTCACAAAGAATTCCCTTTAAAACCAGGCAACTCTCTGTTGGTTAATGGAGTGAATCTGCCTGGGGAAATCTTTCGCCCTCTTACGAAACTCCCAGTCACTTGGATGACAGTCACTCCCAGTTACTGGGTTTTACAAGAAAATTCGCCAAACAACAGTAAATGTGATCACACCTTAATGCAGATGTTTGTCTTGACTGAAAGTTGGCAGCTGCTCTAAATTTCTGAAAGGTGCTGTACGTAACAAGCTTAGCCTATAAACAAGACATTAAATTTTTTTCCCCAAGTCACCTTATAAGTGCTCAATATTGCTAATATGTGTGAATGTTCAACGTGCTTCATTGAAAAACTTTGACAAAGTATGAATACCTTTTTTTTTTTTATCAGATGGACTAATATATGCAAGTTAATCTGATAATTGTATTGACACTGGAAATCTGACAATCGTTTTTTTCATATAATGTTCTTTTTTACATCACAATATACAGTGCTTAGATGTGTTGATATTTGTCTTTATAAATTATTGAGTGTCACATAGTTTCTGTCTTTCTTTCACACTCTTAAGTTCTCACAGATGCTTTCATAACATGGCAGATTTCAGAGGTGTGTTTTAGTCAGATCCATAATTTGGCAGCAGCTTAATGTCAGAATGAGCATTTGTCAGGCTGTGGCGTCGTAGGTTTCCCACTCGCTCGAAGTACATCTCCCCTTCATGTTCTACTACAGGGGACAGCAGAGAGCCTTCAGAGATGTGATGAGTAATCCTTATCTCAGGATGACTCACTGGTGCTCTTGTGGCGCTTTGTTCAGTGCAGCCTACAGGAGTGTGAGAAAGTCACAGATTTGTAGCCAAAGTTAAAGGGGCTGCAACCTTTATGACATCCCCAACCTGTAGAACTTTATTGCATGGAACACAAAAGGGAAACTGAAAGTAAATGAAGACTGGGATTTTTAACCTCCAAGTCATGTGAATTTGGAACAACATGGGGGTGATTGTGTTTTTGGCTGAAATAACATTTTATTTTGTGGTTGGGGAAATGTCAGAATTGTCTGATAATTTTGAGATGGCAACAGAATAACTTTGGGGTTAGATTAAACTATAATGAATCAATGTTGGTTTTCCTACTTGCGTGTCTGCAGTTCCATAAGTAGGGTTTGACCAACGTGGGCAGAATCTCAGTGAAAAACCTATCCCACACCTGGGCCAAAACAAACGGCTGTCTCTCTCCTGAAGGAAAAAGATCATGTTATAATGATGGACACTCACAACGATGGGCACAAACAGCAGATCCACCACATCTTGTGTCTCACCTTCATGCTTCTGAATCTCATCCAAAATGATTGATAGACCTTTGGTCAAAATCTGATTCTGCAAATAATCATATGAAGAAATATTAGCATGGTTTTCTTTTACCAGTGATGCATTTATTTTTACTTGTTTTACCAGAAGAAGAACGCCAGGGGCTCTGACACACTAAAGCACCTGGAAATACTCTGATAAAGAACCCCATATCTGTCCTTAGAAGCCACCTGCATGGGTGATAGCAAATAGCTGCTTAATGTAGTTATTACACATTCATTTAAAATGTGATATTGGAGCTAGTTTAGTTTATACCTGGTATTTTCATTCAAGCAGTACAGTTCATTCGGCTGTAGTTCCTCTCCCCTGAACACCTTAATAACAGCAGCGTAGATACTAAAAAAGAAAGCATTCATATTTTTGAATATTAAAGTCATACTTCAAGGCAACAGAAAAACAAAAACCTTTACTGGAGGAAAAAAAAAGAAAGTGGACATTTCAAAAATTATACTTGTTTGTAAGAGCAGTGCTGGGACCCTGCAGGATGGTGTCAGCGGTGGATGGAGCTGAATGGAGGTCTGTTAGAACATAAGGGTTCAATAAATAAGCCTGTAAAACTTTAGGAGTGAAATGAAGAAATAGAGCTTTCTTTTTAATAGCTCAGGCATGTAGCATAGCCAACTGCAATGTCAGTTCACAGCAACCAGGCCATTTCCAGGTTTTTAGAGCTGTGTGAAAGTAGACAGGTGGATCTGACACATTATCTACTTCCTGTGGTACACCAACTTCCTGTTACTAACTGTCCTGTTCTGTTTACATCTGTTCACTCATTAACCTCAAATCAACTCAACACTTTGTATCTTGTTCTTTTGAAGATCTAGCACACCGACAACATGTCTGAGTGATACAGCAAAATCCTTTCAGAAAACTACAGTACAAAACAAATGCTCAAAAGAAGTCAGAGTTGTGGCCAAAGGATGCAAGGTTCATTGGTGCTGATCTGGGTCATGTCCTGAGCATATATCATACCGATATACACACACCTAATATATATATATAATATATATGCAAACTTTTTATAAATAATAAATAAATAATTCTGCATATGCAATTACAACCAAACACATACAGATTTACACATAGTCTCATGAAACGCTTGAAGAGTTTTTTACTGAACTTTATTCTTTTTTCTCATTCGTTGTTGCAACAAACCATATAAATATTATAAAAATGAGTAAGAAATCATGTATAGTGTTATTGATTTTGCAGCACACACAAATATATTCATCTCAAACATTTGGAACAGAAAGAAAACTTTGTTCCAAGAGCACAAAGTCGTAGTAAAGGAACACAGGAAACGTAATACATACCAAGCCTGTCCATCACAGTGCAGAAATAACTATGATATTAGCAGAGTCCTTTTCAGCTTCCTTACATAATCTAGATCAGGGCTTCAGCGTTAAGAAAAAAAAAACCCTGTGGGTTCGTTCAGAGCGAATGTGTCCTCTTTTAGTTCTGGTAATCTTACTGAAAACAGACTTTGCAAAATCCTTGTTTTCCCTCAAGGCTGATTTTGATGTCCCTTGTGTACATTGGGTAAATTTGCCTAGTCAACTGGTTACTGATTCATTACCTATGGGAACGGTATTGGTTATTCTTGCTAATGAATAATCAGTGTTTTTCTGTGTGAAACTGAAGTGTGCACTGTGAAAGATGATAGGAATATGTATACACTACTGTTCAGGTGTTTGGGGGCAGCATATATATATATATATATATATATATATATAATTTTTTTTATATACATTAATATTTTTACTCAGCAAGGATGCATTGATCAAAATACTTTTACATTTTTACACAAACTATTTTAAATCAGATTTTAAATCTTAAATTTTAAGATTTAAAATTTTTAAATCTTTTAAAAAATGATCTTTTTAATTTTAAAATCTTACATTTTAAGATTTTTCTTTACAATTTTAAATATTTTCAAATCTTTTTATTTTTATTTAAAAAGCAACTTTTTATTCTTTAAGAATCCTGAAAAATGTCCATCATGGTTTCCACAAAAACAAACAAACAAACAAACAAAAAAAACAGCACAACTATTTTTAATTGTGATGATAATGTTTCTGAAGGATTATGTAACTGATGAACTGGAGTAATGGCTGCTGAAAATTCAGCTTTGCCATCACAGGAATAAATTATATTTAAAATACACTAGTCAACATTTGAAGTGGATCAAAACCTTTCATCAAAGTTGTCCTAAAACACGTTCATGTCTTAGGACAACTTTTTTTGATCCACTTCAAATGCTGACTACTGCATATTAAAATAGAAAACAGCTATTTTAAATTGTAACAATATAGCTGTTTTTAGTGTTTTTTTTAATTAAATAAATGCAGCCTTGGTGAGCAAAAGAAACTTCCAAAAACAATCTTACCAATCACAAACTTTTGAATGGTAGTGTACATATATTTATTAATTGTAAAAGCCTATTGAAATGAGGAAGTAAAGGACTTTGTAGCATTCATACAATGCCTTACAATGCAATTCAATTGACAAAGTTCATTTTACTGATAACGTCTGGCCAGGTTGTGATAGAAGAATATTAATGTTCTTTTTGCCCTTCTAACTACAAAATAACAATAATAACACAATTTCAAAGTGCATTAAATTATAAAATGAGTAAAAATTGATATTTTTATTGTATAGAAAATTTGTATAATGATAATTATAATTTAGTGCTATTTAGCTGCAAAAATATAATGCACAAAGAAATAACTCTGCATAGTGTGTCTCTCGTTTTGCGGCCTGGAGTCTCAATTACAATAACCTATACCAAACTACTATTATTCTATTTCCAGCTAAATAAAACAAATGCATAATAACGTGGCCAGATCACTGATCAATGTAAGGCAGTTTCTTGTCGACACCATATCCTGAATGGCTGCTGTCGCTTGGCTTCCTGTGGATGTGGATTTCTGGAGCTGGCAATGGACCCTGCAAAACACAGATAGGGTAGTGTTACCTTAGGAGGACCAAACCTCTGAGACAATGGAAAGAAGACACTGAGTAAGAGAGAGAACAAATGAGGCACAGAGATAAAGTCAGAAGAAGAGACAATACAAGGGAGACCAACATAATAGTAAAGAAAGCCTCACATGGGGCTTTAGGTGCGTCTCTGTCACACTTCAGAGTACTTTTGTGGAAACACTCTGCAATCCAAGACAACACCTCTCCACAATACCTCACCTACAGATGAAGTTTCACTTTCAGTAAAGCCATGAACTTAAATGACACATCTCAACACATTCAGTCAGCAGCTACTCCTTCACCTCACCTCAGTCTCCACTGTTGCCATGTGCTTTTCTTGCTCCTTAAAACCCCCAACCATCCTCAGCAAACTCTGTACCCTATGAAGTGTTACACGCAAAAAAAAAAGTAGATTAAAATGGTTATACATACACTCATTCAGCATAGATTTGCTGAAGCCACCTGTAAATCTCAATATAAGAAAATGGGTTAATAACACATCTGAGTGTAACTCACTTAGAGGAGGTGTATCGGAGTCTCTCTGCACTGCTCTCCCTGTGCTCATGCTCCAGTTTAGCCAGGTAGTTCTCCTTCTGCACCGTCTCCCATGTCATCAGCTTCTGGTCCAGCCCAGCCGATAGTTCCCTCTCTAACCATGACAAGAAAAGAGGAACAAACGTTTAACCACAGTTTCTTTAAATATTTTCTTTGCTTTTTTTCTGACGTGTTCCATCATGTCATGTGTTCCTTTCTTGGTCATTTTCGATATTTCTTGTAACTTGCCTCTAAAAGAAAGTTACAAAATGGGTAGGCCTATTCATTATGAATTATCAGAATAATCTGTACAGGAAGCACACACACACAGCTTGAAGATCTACTTACCCAGCAGATCCTGCTTGGTTTCTGTAGTTTTGATGAGGCTGAGGAGAGCTTGAGAGATGTGGCTGATGATGATGAAGGGTGGAGCCAATTCCGGGCGGCTGTGGTATTCAACAATCAGGTTATAACGCTGAAACTTCCAGAAGATGTCTGCATTCTCCTGCACCACCTGGAAGGTGTAGCTGTGGAGAGAGTTTCATGGCATTTATAGTAGAAAAAATGAACAAATAAATAAACATATTCAGTGGTGGCCAAAAAGAACACCTGACAGATCTGAAAATATTGACCTTTTTTGCCTCCAATACATGATTTCATTTCATAATGTTCATGAAACATGCAGATGGTTGCTCTGAGCATCACAAATATCAGATGAAGTGAGTCGTACTGTTTTTATCCACTTTTAACTTTAATATTTGGTATGTCCACCTTTTGCAGCAATTACAGCAG